TGATACTTAAAACTTCATAACTCAATTCGATTATCACATATTTGAATGGTGTTTATATAATCATATTGGATTTTCAATCCGCGTTCGATTAATAATAAAAACAAAAAAATAAAAAAATACATAAAATTTATAGAGAATATTAGATACATTATTACTATTATTATCATCATTTAAAATTATCACATACAAAGATTATACACACTTACTAGTCAAATAAAAAATAAAGAGAAAAGAGATGAGCACATTTCCCCTTAAAAATACTAAAATACCATATTTTTTTTCAAAAGTTATGAAATCAAAATGTAAAGACAAAAGAGATGGGCGGGCTTCCCCTTCAAAATATTAAAATATCAATTTTCTTTCAAAAGTTAATGATAGCTTCTTTGTACATTGCCTTTTCACCGATTTTTAATTACTAAGATAATATTATAAAGGGCGGTTTAATAAAAAAATCATCACGGTATGTCATTCAACCATGGTTTTATAAAACATTGTCTTTCAAAAGTTATAAAATGAATATTCATTAACATATTTATAAAAATACCTGTAATCGAATTGAATATTTGTCAAATCGAATCGCCTAACATTCGAATTCGATTTGATTAAATAATCGGTATTAAAATCACATTCGAATTCGACCATTCATCTGATTCGAATTATCCCAATTTGATTTGTTTAACTCGGATCTCAAATTTGAAGTCAAATTTTTGAATACCGTTTATACGCGTAGTTAAATACTTTGCAGTGTTGCAGTGTAGCAGGGAAGCCACTTTATGTGGGCTTCCTGTGTACCAAACTCTAGCAACAGGAAATCTAGTTTTCTTGGAGTAGGATAGCTTGTTATACGAAGATTTCCTCTGAACCTTCCTAACCTCTCCCATGATTAGATTCTTTTATCCACTTCAGACCTGTCAAGTCTAATCATGTGTAGAATCCCATCTTTCCATCCTTTCGTCATGTATTTTTAAAAGACCACTGCTGGGAAGTTCACAAGGGATGGATAATTATACCACTTTTGGCAATTTTCTGTACAGATTGCATCAAATTTAAGCTAAAATTGACTTCTTTAAGGGTCTGTTTGGTTCACAGTCAAAATCTTTTGGAATCGGAATGGTCCATTTCCATAGTCTGTTTGGTTCAGACAAATAGGAATGAGAATTAAAATCAGCAGAAATGGGATTTCATTCCCAAGGGAGGGGTAGGGAATGGCCATTCCCTCAAATAGGGGAATGCCATTCCAGAAGGAATGGGAATGGGATTCCGATTCCACCCAACCAAATAGTTGGAATTGGAATAGCCTATTCTGATTCCGATTCCAGACCCCTATTCCCGCAAACCAAATGGAGCCTAAGATCCAAGTACTAACAAACTAAAATAGTTCACAAGGATGGATACTTACACCACTTTCTGGCAATTTTCTGTAAAGACTGAAATTTATGCTAAAATTGACTTCTCCAAGATCCAAGCACTAACAAACTAAACTGCTAGGAAAGGAAGCCAGAAATCAATTAGCGGATAAAACATTGTTTTGGAAGATAAAACATTAATTTACATGACTCATCAGACATGGGAAAACCAAATAACCCATAAAGGGTAAATGAAAAGTAAAAAAAAGAAAAAAAGATAAAGGAATGCAAAAAAAGAACATATATATATATATATATTCTTAACAAAAAAATCTAGCACTCGTTTCATTTTATACAACACATGAACAAATGATTGTCTGGTCTCAAATAAATAAAATAGCGACCTGATTTCTTCATTTTTCTGTAACTAATTTTCTTAATGTTTGATCAATGTTCCTGGTGACTTCTACAACAGGTGGCACTAATGGATATTCCAAAGAAAGAACAAAGTAAGTCAATCAGAATTTCAGTGAAACCTTCACCATTAAGATCATGGCAAGAATGACACAAATTCAAAAACAGAAAACCAATATTGTAAGACTTCGACTGGACTTAAAAATGGAAATCCTTACTAGGTCACAGTTTTACCAGTTAACTGGATGGTTAGTCCATTCAAAAAATGAAAATCATTTAACTGGGACCCCGAAAGGCCAGTGGGTCACTGGGCCACTGGTTCAACTGCCCAATCCAGTCTGAAGTCTTACAACACTGTTAAAAACACATCAAATGGTAATATTAAAAGGGAAGTCCAGTGCACATGGCTCCTGCCAATGCAGGTTCTGGGGAGGGACAGATGTATGCAGCCTTACCCTTGCACATAGAGGGATGCTGTTTCCAAGATTTGAACCCTGGTTACCCATAAAGAAACAATGGAGAAATCTTCCTCAGCATTATTATTAGCATAATTTTTTTTGATAAAATTATATGTGCAGATTCTTTGTCACCTAATTAAATAAACAAGTGTAGCCGAAGAGCAGTGTTGCATGCAATTTCCTAAATGGAAGAAGTGTCTGTGTCAGACATGTGTTGGACTTTGACACTCCCTGGATTCTTGAGGGGACACTTCCACATGACATTTTTCTTCCTCTCCTTGCTTATTTGACATAAATGAACAATTAGTGTACACATCAAATGCCATTTTTCTACAAAATGTTATCAAGTAACAAAGGTAATCTTTTAAAAACCCATTTTGTTGTTTACAAAAAGAAAAATAAAAACCTTTTTTATAGGTTGATAATGTTAAAAACTTGTCAAAATGTGGAGTATTTTAATAGCTTGTATTCATCTATAGATGTGTCTGTAAGCCCTTGTTTTTTCATGACAAGTCAGGGTCCTGGACACAGATGCGATACTGATTCTTGTGTCTTTGTCCATGCAAAATTGCCAAAGAACTTGGTGGACCTAGATGTTGGATTTGGTTGGACATGGTTACTCAAATAGGAAGCCCTCTTTCTGCTTAAGGTTTAAGGCTATGTTTATGTTGTTATATGACATTCAACATATAAGGTGACTTGAAGAATTTGGTGTTTTGGATTTTCAAAAGAGGTGACAACCTGTGGACTAGGGAGAATATTGGTGTTTTTCTCTCAGGTAAAGGCTTCTCAAGATGTTCCTGTTCTTTTCCCTACTGAATCAATTTCATGTTATCCACTAAAACAGAACTTACTTGGAAGCCTCTATGAGCATGATTTGAAGGATTTAGATGAACATTCAGAGATTAGTTGGACTAGTTACAGTTCTTGGGATTACTCAAAAGGCTACCAGAGAATTGGTAATATTAACAAGATAATGAGGGAATCAATGAAGCAGAATCTTTGAAACATGGGAAAAATATTTTTCTTTTGGAAGAAGCACAGATCAACCTTTCATTAATAGACTTAACCTTTGTACAGGTATACCCTGCCCAGAGAAATCAAAATATATGTCTTTCTTCTTTTTACAAGCAGAAAAAGCAAGTTGATGTGCCATATTATTACTTTCCTATTTGCATGGACTATACGGCACATACCGAAAAAAAGAAGTAAATTCAGAACATGCTCTTTTAAGATCCTTTCAGACCATTGACACTCTAATTGAGGTTGGTTGATCTCCATGACAACAGCTTCAGCATCAGAAAACACAACAAGCTTCTTACAATTCCTATCCCGAGCAAACTCCAGAGCTCGTACAACTGCCCACTATTCAGTATCACCACTACTCCTTGCACAGCATTGATAGCCAGTGGCAAAAACAACATTGTTGTTATTAGAATTTCACATCATCAATCCTGTTGCAGCATATCCTGTCTCTGGTTCATATGAGCCATCAATGAAAATTTTCAAGTGCAGATGCAACTCATCAGAAGTAACATGATTTCTTTTATTCAAAGGAGTTGTTTCTGGTGAGCTTTGAGAAACTTTTTGCAAGGAATTTTCCCAATTACTTGATAAAATTGTTGCAACACTTGTTTTGGATGTGGTTTTTAATTATGATACAGAACTCCATTCCTCGCATCCCATATGAACCAAAAGCTGTCTGGAACAAACCCATTAGCTGTATCCTTCTTCATTAAACTCATTAATTTTAGTTGTTTCCACTTATTCACTATCAAGCAGAAGGGCCGATCCCCTATTTCCCCTGAGTTAGTACCATCTGTTAAGACAACTAAATTGCTTTTGCAAAGTGGCAGGTGAAAAATAAATGATCGAAAGTCTCTGCCATCTGATTACACATAGGGCAAAGTCTATCCTCTTCTTCCAAAAATCTTAACTTGTCTTTTGTTGGAATCCCTCCTCAAAGGACTTTCCACATGAACATTTGACATATATACATAATAGTAGTCTTCCATATTTCATTCCAATTTACTACTTGTTTAGAAGTGGATGGGTACCTACTTATGAAAGTCCTATTAGCAGACTTAACGATATGTTTTCGATCCCAAGTCTCCGCTATGACCAGCAGGAGACTTTACTGTATATTTACAGGTAGTATTTCCCTTCCACAGAAGTCTGTCTTTTGCTAAACCTTGATTTAGCCTTACCTGCAAAATATGCTTAACAGTTTCCTGTTCAAAATATTCAGACAACAACAGTCTATTCCACTCACCATGAGGCAGCAACAGGTCCTTTACCTTTTGGATCATTGAATTCTGTTGATGCATACCTTGCATTACAGGAACTACTCCATGTAAAGTGGATACCCATGGGTCTGTTTGAAGGAAAATCTGTTCTCCATTTTAATTTACCAAAATAGGCTTGTTTTGAGTTTATCTAGAACTTGAATAATTTGCTTCCACAAAACAGAACCCGATGAAGTCTTTGTGAGTGTAAAAATTGAATTGCCTTTAAAATATTTCTGTCTAATGACCCGAACCCACCAAGCTTCATTTTCTGTAATCAACCTCCAAACCTGTTTACCAAATACAGCTTTATTCATTTCAGACACCCTTCTGAAATTCAATCCTCTCAATACAAAGGGAGACAATGAAGTGGTTTAAGTCCTCCCCAACTTTTAAAACATGAACTATCGGTATCACAATGCTCAGGTGCTTTTATCTCTCCAATAAGACCCATTAAAATTTTCACAAACTTCTATCTAACAGAACAAAGGCTAATGAATGTTTAAAATAAAAGGACATATATATGTTTACAATTGAACAGATTTACAAGGATAGAATTCTTGAATCAAAGCATTACAATCAAAATAGTAGTTTACTCATAATTGTGTTGGTCATAGATGTATGTGGTTACAAATGGACCAGGAGTGTAAGCAAAATATTATTATGACACAAAATTTCATCAGGACTCCAATGGTGTGTTGGTGTCAGAGATTTTATAGTATTTCATTGTGACAGATTCAATAGGATAATGGTACAAATACCATACCTCCAAAATGGTTCATGACTGCAACCGGAGGTGATTGAGTAATTATGATGAGAAATCATGACAGACAGGCATCATGCCACTGTTTCCATCCAGTTAGCCTCCAGTGATGATCCTGAATGATCATAACCTAGATCCTATACAATGTGCCAGGATCTGGGCAAGCTATATCAGATAAATGATCCAAAACTGGTTTTTTCTGACAATGTTTTCTGCAGTTAACCGTTAATTAATCCTACAAGCTGGGTAGGTATTATGTTGTGGTTGTCTCTTGTTGACTATTTCCAAGGTTTTTACATGAGAAACACTCCAACCATTGTTTTGGGGCAGCAGGGTGAATGTTGAAAAGGCGAGCTATGAACTTCTTCTCAGAATCGGCAATGATGCTTGCGATAGAATAGTTTTTTGTAACTAGGCCCATCTGCTTTAGCCACATATGGATTCTAAATCTGGGTTTGATCCTGTTTTCTAAATCAAAGCATAGATAACCAGGAAAAGCATTGAGGGTCTGCAGAGAGCTCCCTATATCATTGCAGAGGAAATTCACCTTTTGCTCAATCACATCTGGATTCTGGTTGAGGATCTTTGGCCATCTGTTAACCATCTTACACAGCTTGGTGAATTCAACTCCTAAGCGCAGAAGGCAATCAAATCGCTCCTGTAGCTCAGCCCTTGAGCCATGTATGCGTGATAAGGCTTTTATTGTAGTGAGATTCTCCCCAAACCCAATACCAAGCAAGAAATTCAACTTACCAATTGTCAGATTTTGGGCTTTTGGTGTTAGGAATCTGGCCAAGCTATCTTTAAATTCTTTCTCCAAGTCTTCATCAGGATCACTGGCAACAAAATTAATTAACAAGTGATGATCCCCATTCATTATCTTATTGAAGAACCATTGGTGAAGATTCACTGCTCTCATCAAATGAGGTACATTAGCCAACCTGTTCTTACCCAAAACATAAGGGTACTGCTCTGCAATAGAATTCAGTTTCTCACTGCTCAACCCAATATGTTTCAGAAAATCCAATGCTGATATCACCGGGCTCTCTAAATCATAGTGTAAAATCTCCGGATACTGGAGTAGCAATAAACCCACATCCTCCCTTCTCACACTAAATCTACAGAAATAATCTACTTTTTGGACCAAAACCCCTTCCGTGTGTTCAAGAAAAATGTTCTTTCTCCTGCCAAACAATTCTCCCATTTTCCCCCTCTCGCATCCAATATCATAAAAAACCCTAATTTTCTTGCAAATTTCATACCAAGCATCGGTACTCCACTCCACAGAACTTGCCAGACCGAAATCAAGAAAAACCCTTTTCAAATCATCAAACAAGGCATCAATCTCACCGCTCAGTTCATCATTTCCACTCAACACAAAAGGAAAAGCCAAACATATACCGGACACTGCAATACTATCAAAGCCAACTGCTCTGAATTCACGGAGCTGAGCAGTTAGAGCTTCGGGGCTCCTAGAGAAAATGGAAATTTCCTCCTTATATAGCGTTCCTAGCTTGTTCCAAGGGAATCCACATACCGAAAGCGCACCAGCGATCTTCAAAATGTTCCCTTCCTCCGACAAGAAGAATTCATGGGAAGGCAAGAAACCGTTGATCTCCGAAGGAGGGACGCCGATGCTTTCGAAGAAAAACTCAATCTCGTTGATGGGGTGGTACCTGAGGAACCTCTGAAAGTTTCTGAAAAAGTTAGAAGGCGAGAATTCGACTTTGGAGATGAGTTCAGAGAGGGAAAACAATGAGTTCTTGCTAATGTTCTCTGCGTGGTCGAAGGATAATGATCTGGTGGAGTGGAGATAGTCAGTCAGAACTTGTTGAGCTTGTAAGATAGCTCTGCTGCGATACCTAGAGGGGATTCTTCGGAGCTGCCGAAGCTTTGGTAGAGAACTAAAATGGCGGGATACGAAGTTACAGAAAGAGGAGGAAGTGAAGGAGACGAAACGCATAGTTGTGTTTTCTATCTTACGATTTGGATGGATTTTTCAGAAACCTGGAGGCATTTCATGAAAGTGCTAGCATTGGCAACAAGACTGCGTTTGAATGATCAGAGAACATCCGTGAGTGAGAATGTGAACTTCATGCTTTCATAGGGATGTAGTCATAAATAGAATTATTTAAGGGGGTACTATAGTAATTTTGGAATATCAAAGGGCTAAAGAAAGCCCTTAATTACTTCGCCTGGTTGCATCAATCATCAATTCTTCTCGACGACGGAGATGTCTCAAGAGGGAGAGCAGCAGAGAAACACCGCTTCCGTTACGGAAGAAGGAGATGGACAAGGGAGAGGTGCGAAGCGTGGCCGGAATGAGGAGGAATTGAACGCCGTCGAACGTGGTGGCTCCGGCGATGCTCCGTCGCCGAAGCGTGTTGCCAAGTCCCATGAGGTGTTGTTCAGGATCGTCGTCCCTTCGAGGCAGATCGGGAAAGTGATTGGTAAACAAGGATGCCGAATCCAGAAGATCCGAGAAGAAACCAAAGCTATGATCAAGATAGCCGATGCCATTGCCGTGAGTCGATTTTTGTTTGCTCGATGTTACTATGCTTGTTTATATTTTTCTCGTCTATTTTAGCATTCTTTTGTTTAGGCCATTATGATTCATGGTTGCAATGCGAGTGTTTTTTTTTTTTTGGAAAATTTAGAAGAAACTTAAGTGGCATAATTAGTTCAAATATTTTAAGAAGGCTTGATGAATTTGTGACAATGGAAAGTTGTTGATAAATTAAAAAGAGAATAATTTCGTTTTGATTAAGTTAATGAAGAAATGCTGCTTAAACTAATTTTTTCAGTAACACAAATAATGGGAATAACTGCCAAGAACTTGAAACTACCCAGAACTTCTGTTTATCACAGGGTATAGCTTATGGCTTTATTTAATTTCTTCCTTCTTAGTTTACTAAATGGAATACTGTTTATGGTTCATATTAATAGAGAAATCAATATTATTGAAGAACTATCAAGAGTTCTATTTTTTTTTCTTTTTTAAATCTTGTGATTGATGACAAGATAAAGAAAAAATTACTAGAAACTAAATGTATGAGTAAGAAAAAGGGAACTCCCACAATGTGATAACTGACTAAGAGTACCATTTATTGAAGATAAATAAAGAAAAAATTTTATTACTAAAAAGAGTTTGCAGCTCATAGAGTGACAAGAGGTCACCCCCAAGAAACAGTCAGAAAAAAAAAAACAATACAGACTTAAAACAAAGTACATCAGAAACCCAGACAGTTAAGCATTTAAAGAGCTCCAGAAGTCTGCCCCAGAATCTTCTTTCTTTAATCCTTGAAAATCTGGCAGGATTTAACACCCAGCCTATGACTGATGAACTGATTCGAGCCACCATCTCTTCCCAACTTTTCTTCTTGTTCTCGAATCGAAGATTCTTTTATTTATTTCCTTCCAAACTTCCCAGCACACCGCGAATGGAATGTAGCTCCACATCAGCTTGACCTTAGAACCACCCTGAACTCTTGGCCAAAGTCCAAAGGTTTCAGCCTGATTTGAGATTGACCACTGGTCCACCTCAAACAGCTTGAAAAAATAGACCCATATTGAGGAACTGAAGCTGCACCTGTAGAACAAATGCATGGTGTTTTCTTCTCCAGATAAGCAAAGGGCACATCTGCTTGGGAATTGAGATCCTTGTGCCCCCAAAACAAAGTTCCATGAATTAGATCTACCCTGGGAGGGCAAACTCCATTACAACTCTTTGCTTCTGTAGCTAAAAATATTTGCTAGAGAAGTAGCTGATCTCTGAAATCAGTTGAATGAGATATTAATGCTCGAACCGAAGGATTTAATTTCCATAAGAACATCTAATCACCACTTGGTGGTTTCACTTGACTTATTATCTGGTGCACCCCAGTGGTTCCCCTGGTTATCAACAAGGCTTAGATGCAAGGATTGAAATTTCACAATGTATCGGTGACCCACCAATATGCCACTTTAAGTTGGGTTTTGGGGGTTGATCTGTTTCAGGGAGTAGACAGGTCTTATACCGACCCCCTGAACAGGTTTGAAAAAAAAAAACACTAAAAAATGCACCCAACGATATAGACCTATATGCCCCATCCAGTGTATTGGCCTGTTTTGATATTTAGAACCTTGCTTAGATGACGATGATTAATAAAAAAGAAAATTACTGTAATTTTAATTTGACCATCAATTTTTGAGGAAACAACCCTTTCTTATTTTCTTATGATAGCAAGATCCTTTGACTGGAGCAGTTTACCTGTATCAATAAATTCAAGGTGACACTGTACCAAAATTGGTGGCAAATGCTGCATGGATATTTATAGCACAACTTGATGCCAGACCCACCTAAACAGCAACTAATTAAAGCAGCTGTAATTGGCTTGATCAAGCTGGAATTTGATGAAACTGCTCTTAGCTTTCTTATTGCTTCTCTTCCATGCCTTTTTTTAGATCAGTAATTTTCTACCATTGGCTTTTGTCTTTGAATATTTTTGTGTTCCTCTCTTCCTAAATTGACCATAGCGCTATAGTGCTTGTACATCTCCAATGATTTTCCCCTTCTTTTTGAGGGCTTGAAAAAAATCATCCTTAGCTAGACTTCTCACATTTCTTAGTGGATGCTTCATACTATTGAAAAGAGAAAACATACTCTATCCCTTTTGTTGTTTTTTATGTGTGATGGAAGCAATGGGTCAATTGGTTCTGAGAGAAGTTAGAGGTGTTTTTTTTGGAGGGTTTTACAGTAGGGGAGGAAAGGTTAGAAATTCCTCTACTTCAGTTTGCTGTGATTCAGTGTTTTTTTTGCGATGCTTCTAGTGAGCAATTGGAGTACTTGATGGCAACCTTATGGTGGTTTGAAGCAGTCTCAGGGCTGCACCTGAATATTCTTTAAAGTGAAGTGGTGGCTGTAGGAGAGGTGGGGGATCTGCAAAAATGGGCTGAATGTTTGGGGTTTTAAGGTGGGAAAACTGCCTATTAAATATTTGGGCATGCCTCTAGGGGCAAAATGCAGTGCAAAATCTATTTGGGAGCCTATAGTATAAGGGGTGCATAAGAAATTGGCATCATAGAAGTCCAAATACTTATCAAAAGGGGGTAAACTCACATTAATTAAGAGTGTGCTGTCTTCTATTCTGGTTTACCTATTGTCCATGTACCCAATTCCAGCTGGGTTGGCAGCCTCCATTGAAAAGAAAATGAGGGAATTCTTATGGAAGGGATGGAAGGAGGATAAGAAGGTTCATCTAGTAAATTGGGGAAAGGTATGCAAGCATAAGAAAAATGGAGGATTAGGAATTAGAAGATTGAGAAATTCGATCATTGCCCTCCACAGTAAGTTGTTTTGGAGATTTGGCCAACAAGAAAACAGCTTATGGAGAAGAGTCATAAAAGCAAAATATATCTAAGTGGGGGTTGGGATCCAGGTGAAGCAAGTCAGTCTTATGGATGCTCAGTTTGGAAAGGGATAGAGAGAAGCTACTGTTTTTTGTTTTTGTTTTTTTTGTTTTGCTCGGTAAGGAAATCAGCTTTGAGGTGTGGAAAGGAACCAAAGTCAGGTTTTGGAAGGATTGCTGATGTGAAGGTAGCATTCTGAAAGATGTATTCCCTGAGTTGTTTGCATTAGCAGTGGATAAGGAAGCAAAAGTGGCTGAGTATAACTTATCAAAAAAAGTGGCTGAGTATATGCAGATCTCCAATGACAACTGTGTCTGGAATCCCCTCCTCAGAAGAGTTTTAAATGATTGGGAGATTGATCATTATGCTCGGCTGTTGTAGAAGATTTACAGTACCCATACTGACTATACTAGTGAGGATAAAAGAGTGTGGATGTTATGGGCCCGAGAATAGGATCTCGTCACGGGTTGGTCCACGGGGAAAACCTCCTGTTTTCCCTTGTTCTTCCCTTTTCTTGATGAACCTATCTTGGTGCCTTAATGGTGATTTGTCCAAGAGATCACCTAACTCTCCTTGCTCTCTTTCTTGACTGAAATTTTCAATACCTTTATTGAATAATATCAGCTCCTTAAATAGGAGATTACAAGAGATAAGAGTCCTACTTTTAGGAAGACTCCTTACTAATTAGGAAGACTCCCTACTAATCTATCCTACTGAACTGATAAGATAAGATAAGACTCCCTTAATCTATCCTACTGAACTGATAAGATAAGATAAGATAAGACTCCTACTAATCCCTGCTACTGAAAGCAGATAGGGTAAGAATACTGAATAGATAAGATAGGATGAGAACACTAAGTTGCTGCTGCTGAGAACATTAAATTACTGCTGCTGCTGCCGGTGCCCACATCAGTGGATGGGTGGGAAGCCGGAAGAATAATTAGTTCTCAGTGAGTTTCTTTTATAGCAGGTTGACTAAGGAGGAAGATCAAGATTTCCCTATGAATCTAATCTGGTGCAAACTCATCCCTTCGAAAATTGCATTCTTCATCTGGTCGGCTTTCCTCAATAAGATTCATACTAAAGATAATCCAATGAAGAGAGGTGTGGCAATTGACTCACCAGTGTATGTCCTCTGTAACAGGGTGGATGAATCCATTGACCACCTGTTGTTACACTGTGAGTTCTCTTATAAAATTTGGGTGAAGGTTCACAGCTTGTTTGCCCTTGGGGAATTTTGTCTGGAGTCAGTGGAAAGTTTCTGTAAGGGGTGTATATTCAAGGTTTGAGCAAAAGAGGGAAGGTTGTTTGGCAAATGATCCCAGGAATTTTGTGGTGGTTGATATGGCAGGAAAGGAACTCTAGAATTTTTCGCAACAAAAGTAGCCAGGTGGAGGATGTGTGGCAAGTTGTGGGCAAATTATTTCCCGGTCTTCAGTTCAGCTCAACTTAACAGTTTAAGTCATAGTTCTTATTTTGATTATGTAAATCTTTTTGTTAATGCTGAAGGGATAGTAGCTTAGTTTCTTGTATGTTTTCCCTGTTACAGCCTCTAGTTGTACAGGGTATTTTATTTTCATTTTTTCTTAATGAAATTCTTTCTTTACCTTTTTCTCAAAAAAAAAAAAATTCTCTAATATAAGAAGTATATAGGAGATTAATAGGTGGAATGTAGTTTCACCACTTGCTTGGAATAGAAAGCACATGTAGGGAGAAATGTTCCAAGCAGATCTTTTTTGAAGAAACTCATAAGTGTTGATTTTCATGTGTATTACCTCTCTACAAAAAGCCCTTATCTTGTTGTGCTATGGTCTGGCCCAAACAGATTTTATTGGAGAAACATTATATTAATTTAACATATTGTACTGAATACACCAATACATGTTTCACATCCTTAGTCTTCTTTTATGTTTGGATTTTATGCCCTTATCCTTGACAAAGGAAATTGAGAATCCTCTCTTTTCTGGCTTGTGGTGGACATTGTTGCAACTATATTCTGATTGGGCATGCTGTTGAAGCCATATCATAAATATTTTACTGAAATCTTTACGAGTATATCAGACACTTTCATATTAGTTTGATAAAATCCTTTGATATTTGCCTAGACTACTATTTCTGTTTGGAACCACAAGTACCAGTGAATTGAATAATGTCATTGATTATGTGAAGAAAGTACTCCATGGTGTGGCAGTTACTAATTCCCATTGTTTTTTGTCCTTTTTCTATTTTTCTTATTATTTTTTAATACAGCCTTATGAAGAGCGTGTAATAATTATCAGTTCTAAAGATGATGATAGCAAAGTTTCTGATGCGGAACATGCGCTTCATCATATAGCCAAGGTTATTCTCCAGGTGATGTGGTTCATTACAAAACAATAAATCATGTCAATTTTTGCTTATAGTATCACTATTTTTTTCTATTTCATTGGTTTAGGGTTTATTTGACAGGAGCATTGGTTTACTGGAAATAACAGTTTTTTTTCCTCTCTCTCTCTCGTTACTGGAATTTGATTTCAGACCATATATGATTGGCATGATAATCTTCAATCAACTTAGTGTAGAATAGTTGAGGGATAATTACCTATCAAGAAAGAAAAAAAGCGCTGAGCTTTTTACTTTCATTTTAGAATTAGGTTAAGGTAGGTTTCTATCGTCTATGTTATAGAGCTTGGGGTTAAGGGTTTAACAAGGATTTTATTAATTTGTGTTAAATGACGGCAGATATGTTTGTGCCAAGCACCCCTACAATGATTGACCAGCCTCTACCTACCCCAAACTTCCTTTTCCTTCATCATCATCACCCAAGCTTTGATTAATAATAATGGTAACCATGGTTCAAAGTATCGATACGATACGCCCGATATGGGGCGTATTGTATCGTATCGTATCGTATCTTTTGAAAAAGATACGGTCCGAAATGCCTGTTTCCAGGTGTTTCGGACCCCCAGTTTTTTTAATAATAAAAAATATCTTATAAGCTTTCCAAAAAACTAAACTTTGAAAAAAAAAACTAAAAAAAAAGTATGTATCGGCCGTTTCTAAGTACCGATACGATACGACCGAAACTCGTATCGTATCGATACTTTGAACCTTGATGGTAACTTTGATTAATAATAATGGATAAAAATTACAACTGATACAATCCAAGGGCCGGACGGAGAACCCTTTGATACCAACTGTCTCATAAACAGGCCCAAAACAACTCTTGCCTATTGACTCCTTGCTTTGCTAAAGCATCAGCCATACCATTTTCTGATCTTCTTTCCCAAATAAACCTCACCCCAAAACAACTGCCACCATCACCCAAGCTTTATCCTAACTATATGGGGTTGGCTACATGAATCCTGTTTTGCCATTCTGTCAGTTTAATGTCGTACCTATTGTCAACTTATTTGCACTTAAATCGTTTCTTATTACTTACACCCATGTCCTTTTTGGTCTACCCCTAGTCCTTCTTGCTCCTTCAACTTGCAACAAATCACTTCTTCTAATGGATGCTGGTGATGCTCTTCTAGGTTCCTTTGAATGACTTCATTTATGGTCCTATCCTTTCTAATTTTTCTACTCATCCATCTCAGCATATGCATTTCTGCCACACTCATTTTTTGGACATGTTTCTTGACTGCCCAAAACTCTGATCCACCATTCCTTTTTCTTGTTGTTCTCATAATTTGCAGATTTAGAGCTGCTCTAAGTGAGCATGACTTTTCCTCCTCTTGAGGGACAATGTGTTTTCTTCCAAGCAGCTAACCTTCTGTCAGAGATTTCTATAACTCAGTCCATAATGACCTATATATGTATGTAATTTGCCCCCAAACAATGGCTCAATTTGGAAGCTGATATACAAACAAACGCTGAGACTCGCTCATAGTTGTTAAACATCTCTTGAACAATAAAAACTTCATTTTGTTTCAATCTATATGTTGTCTCTTGAACAATAACTACCCTTTCCTCTTTATCTTGCATGGATCCAACTCATGTTGATAGAGAAAAAGATAAAATAATCTGCAGGTAAATAAGATCAATCACATTGCTCATTACAATGGGTGGGAAGGTTGGCAAATGCCTTGGCTGATTACCTTGCTAAACAAGGGGTTAACAGGGAAAATTTGTACTGGGCTGCACTGTAATCTATTCTCTTTTGTTTAATCTGTGATTTTCTTTCAAGGAGAGGTTGCATCTCGTGCCTCTCCTTGGGATGCCTGTAATAATTTTCTTATCTTGTTAATAAAATCACCATTTAATTCTAAAAAAGGGAGTCAAGAAGGTTTGTTCTCTAGTAAGTTAGAAGTAGATAACATAGATGATAAGGAAGACTTTCTATGGATTGAAGTAGATGCCATTTTCTATGAAGAGAGCCATCAAAATTTTGAGCTGGGAGGAGCAGATAATTCAAGGAGCCATTACTTGGTGTAATGGCATAATCTCAGGCTGTCAAGTGTGAGAATGCAGGTAAGTTTGAGAGCGGCCACTTTGTGCAAAAAGGTTAGGACCGCATCAGGTCCACCCCTCCCAAGGCCCTAAATAGCTAACATTGGGTAATGGCCTTTTTCGGCAGTGGATCAGAGGAGTGACATAAATATTACCACGTATTGCATCTCCACATGAAGTAGGGAATGATTTTAATGCTTTTGGAAAGGAAGATAATAAGAAGCCAGAGATACAAGGAAAGGGTGGTTTTAGCAGATCAGAAAGTAAGAGAAGGGACGTAGAATTGGGGCATGGGAATGGGAAGGAGGGATTGGAGGTAGAATAAGATCTCCTAGAGATGAGAATGAAGTTAAGGAGGTGTACATGGGTGATGCTAGGGTTGTGGAAAACAAGATCAAAGTTGAGTATGATGATACATGGGGTAGAAGAGGCTGCAGAAAGAGTTTATGAAATTCTTGACAAAAGAGAAAAGAAGAAGGATGCCTTTAGATTATGGATGGTCTCCTCTACTGTGCTGCATAAACAACATTGATTTATGATTTGTCATGCCTTTAGATTGTAGGTTGTTGAGTGTTAAGATTTTTCCTTTGACAGCTCACTGCTGTCTATAGGAAGAAGGGTATTTTGGATAGGATGTTTTGAGTAGAAATCTGCTGAATTAAAAAATATGAAAGAAAGTAGTTTCTTGAAGAGAGAAGGAAGAGAGAAGGAGGAGAAGAGAAGAAGAGAAGTTGAAAAGAAAAGAGAGCAATAATCTGGCCGTCCCCTTCACTTATTATTTATACTAAAATAATAGAACAGTACAAAGACAACTATGCCCTTATAGGGCGKCAAAACATAAAACAACATATATAACACTCAAAAACATAATAAAAATTGGACTCACATAACTACTGTGGTCCCCACCTCCTATCTAACAACTAACATAAAACATCTACTCGGAAAAACAACATAAAACTAATTAATCTTCAACACTTCCCCTCAAGTTGGGAGTRAATGTCACACATTCCCAACTTGCGTAGATCATGTTCAAGCTTGTTCCTTGCCACCCCTTTAGTGAGAACATCADCYARYTGCAAHTCTGAAGAGACATAWGGCAAACAAACTTCTCCGGTTGTTACCCTTTCTCTTATAAAGTGTCTATCAACTTCAATGTTTTTTGTCCTATCATGCTGAATTGGATTGTGGGCAATATTGATTGCAGCCTGATTGTCACAATATAACATCATAGGTATCTCTGCTTTCATCCCAATCTCACTCAAAAAGATCTAACCCAAAGAAATTCTGAGACACCATGAGCCATGGATCTATACTCAGCCTCTGCACTTGACCTTGYCACAACYGCTTGCTTCTTRCTCTTCCAGGAGATCAAGTTTCCACCTACAAAGGTACACACTCCCAATGTAGACCTCTTGTTATCTAAGCTTCTCGCTCAGTCTGCATCTGTATAGGATTCTA